TCAGATGTCTTGTGCACTAACGTCAGCTATATTATAACTATCATTATTTCTATTTTTTATTTTTTTTTAAAGATTTTTTTTTATTTATTTATTCATGAGAGACAGAGAGAGAGAGAAGCAGAGGGAGAAGCAGGCTCCCAAGGAGCAAGGAGCCCGATGCGGGACTCGATCCCAGGACCCCGGGATCATGACCTGAGCCGAAGGCAGACGCTTAACCATCTGAGCCACCCAGGCGCCCTTTTCTGCCTTTGGCTCAGGTCATGATCCCAGGGTCCTGGAATCAAGCCCCTCATGGCATCGGGCTCCCTGCTGTGCGGGAAGCCTGCTTTTCCCTCTCCCACTCCCCCTGCTTGTGTTCCCTCTCTAGCTGTGTCTCTCTGCCAAATAAATAAATAAAATCTTAAAAAAAAAAAAAAAAAAACCAACATATTTAACACCAGAATCCTACTAGGCAACCTATCTTGCAGTGTGATACTTAAATTTAATAATATCTTGGACATTATTCCAAGTCATTAGAGAGAAGACTAGCTCATGGTTTTAGTGACTATACAGATTTCTATAGTATATGTGTATCCTCTAATTCCAATCCTTACTAAAGGCTATTTGAGTCATTCCAGGGTCTCCATTATAAGGAACATTTAAAAGGCAATTCTTATCTACAACTTTATATAACTGTGCAAGGATATCTGTAACAGAAGTTTCTGTTGGTGGGATTTCTGTATTAGAGTATATAAATTCAATCAGTGCAGTCAAGACTCCTCAAATTTACTAGAATGGAAGCTGCTTGGGAGCAAGAATTATGATGTTTCCTTCACTGCTTAGATTAGTGCCTGGCACATAGCAGACATACATATTTGCTTAATGAAGTAATGTATGTTTTATTTTTCTCTTCAGAGAGCTGCTTGTCCATGTAGTTTACCTATTTTTCTATTAAATTCTTGGGTTTTTTTTTTTTTCCTAAGAGTTCCTGGTAAAATAAGAAAATTAGCCATTTTCCATGTGTTGCAAATACTTTTACCCAGCTTGTCTTTGTATTTCTGTGTATTTTGCCATTTAGAAAGTCTACATTTTCATGAAATCAAATGTATTAACCTTTTTCTTCATGCTTTTTATGTTTAGTTGTTTCCCAGCAAAATAAAAACAAGATTCACATAAGTTTTCTTCTTGTTCTTTCAATGTGGCCTTAAGGGTTTTGTTTTGTTTTGTTTTGACCTGATATTTCTATTTTGGTCTCTATTGATTGGGAAAAAAAATGCATTATATAGAATGAAGAGTACACAGGTAGGGAATCACCAAGGTAGAGAGCTTAGATTTGTGCCTCAACACTGACCCATTTTCATTCTGGATTTTTAATCTCTTTTCCCAAACACATAAAAATAACTACGTTAGCATCATTTTTTAATTACAAAAGTTATTTGCGTACATTGTAAAAAGTTCAACTTACCAGAAATATTTAGAATAAAAAGCAAAAATCTTCCTCCACTTTCTCTCTTTGCCTCTATAATTCCACTCTATAGAAGAAATCTGTCAACACTCCCTATGGATTCACAAATATATACACACATATTAGTGGTCCTTTATTTTTTTCTGCTTGATATTAATCAATCATAATATCTGACATCCTGTATGTACATTCAGTACATATTTTCTGAATGTAGACCTTCTAAAGCCAGTGTACTACAGCTGATATCACATTAGTAAATTGAATGTATATACACGTTTATAATAGCTTTGCAATGGCTGCCTTCATTATTAGGATATACCACAATCTAATTAGTCACTCTATTCCTGGGCATTATTTTTCTGTTTTTAAACACTATAAGCAATGCTGCTATACCCACCCCTATTCATGTTTTTGTATTTATATGTGATTATTTCTACAGATGAAGTCCTAAAAAATGGAACTGCTGGTTTGAAGGTGACATGCATTCATAGCAGATTGGAGCTGGGGAAACGTAGAGAAGCCTCTGTACCATTCCCAGCTCACTGTAATGACTCCACCTTGCACACTGCTTCAGGGGTGCTACTGAAAATAGGTTTTTTTGTTCATTTGTTTAGAGTGTGAACTTCTGAACATGAAAATATCAGGTAGAAAATCATCTGAGCGTGGGCTCACGTGTGCTTTGCCCAGGATTTCCATTTTTCAGGATCCATCCTACAAAAACATTCTCGTGAAGTGAAACGGTGTAAGTTCAGCTCTGTAATCCAGCTAAGAGGAGAGACAAGGGGGTTAGCTAAAAATGTGAATTAGTGGGCTGAGCGCCCCAAGGGAAGAAACCTGTAATGGTTTGACAGAATTATCAGTCACGGGACTGGAGTAGAACCTAGGAGAGCATCTCCACAGACAGATGGGGGAGGGTGGAACATCTCCCTCCTCTCCCGGGGGTGGCCCATCAGCAAGGACAGTGGTTCAGGCTTCTAACACTTCTAATTGCATAAGTTCTCTGAGCAAGCTGCTCCAGGATGCAGAGGTTTGCAGACTGCCCCTATCTAACCTCAGGAGATGCCCTACCATCGCGGGGTTTGTTCAGGGAGTGCTCAGTAACCAGAAGGGCTGGCCCTCTTCTGGACCAGGGTAACCAGGAGTCAGCTATGAGATCCTCTGTCTTTTCCCACCCTCTCCTCTTTCCTCCTTTGCTTGGCTTGAGGCCAAACTGTCCTCTAAAGAGGAAAGTTAAGGAACTTTAATTAGGGTTTTGAAATTCAAACTCATAACAACCTTGTACATTTGAAAGCAATCACCAAATTGCCCTCTGAAGAGGAAGAAGTTCTACTTCACACTTCCTTGAATAGTTTCCTTGACACCTTGATGAAACTCATTAAGCTCATTAACCTTCGTTTTTGCCAATCTGATTTTTCATTATTATCCACATTTTCTTAAACAATGCTCGTATAAAAAGACATGAAAATCTCTGCACCCGTTTGTAGACTATAATTGCTTTCAGTAGATAAAAACCCCAAGACACCCAGAAAACCAGGCTGGCAGGATCTTGACCTGGAGGTGAAGGGACAATGGTATGCAAAAATGATGAGCTTGGTCAAACTCAGTCTTGAGCCAGATACTATTTAAAACTGGAGAACCCAAGCCTTGAGAAATGTTAGAAAAAAAGAAAATTTCTTTTTGTTATTAAGTTATAAGGGGGTATTGTAAGGAAGTGGTCTCTTGTCACTTAACGGGTCTCTCTCCAGTCCCGGGGTTCACCAGAGGTGACCGTCCTGCGGAGAGCATATCGCTTTGAGTAGGTCTCCTCTATATGAAGTAGACAGTCCTACATTGATCATGCCAAAAAAGCCTGTCCTCGGGACAGGACACGTCACCTGTAAAAGTGATATAATCAGGGGTTCTTTTGGCAGGACCTACACTGGGATTGAGGAAGAAGTACTATTTTCTTTAACCTTACTCTCTACACTGTGCTGAATGGCACCCCAGGGTGGAGTGGAGAACCTGGCTTTTACTTGTCCCTAGGGACACAGAGGCCATATCCTAAGAAACAATGTGATTTTAACAAAGAGATTGCATCAGCCATAAGCACAAAAGAAACCTAGCAAATGGCCAACCTTATATGTACACTGCCTAAATATGATTTCAGGGGCCATTAAAAGAATTTGCAACTTCCAAGAGTCCTCTCCTACTTCCTGGTGCTTCCCCTCCTACCTTATTAGAATAAACCTTTTATACAAAGGCTAAATTACATATATTTAGAGTGAAAACATTTTCCCCAAAACAATTGCCAAAAACACTATCCCAGAGAGAGCTAAAACCCTATAATCCCATCACCCTGCTTAATTCTTTTTTTTTTTTTAAGTTTATTTATTTAAGTAATCTCTGTACCCAAGGAGGGGCTCAAACTCACAACCCTCCAAGATCAAGAGTCACATGCTCTTCCGACTGAGCCTGCCAGGCACTCCCAGACCATATTCTGATAACACATACCTAATAGATTTGTTTCTGATAGCAACTTTATTACGGCTGCAAATATAACGTTCAGAACACACGATGACGATTTAATATCTACAGGAGTAGATGGAAGCATGGCAGCTACGTGTTTACATCTCACTCTAAATAAGCACAAAACTGGACTCTAGGTCATGATTCAAACTTCCATTTTTATGTCTTCATAAACATATACGTAATGATGGAAAACGAAACAGCAATGCTGGGGTCAGGTGACTCAGTTGGTATATCCTGGTCTAAAGGAAAGGGATGGTCCCTAGCCTGAAGTGGAACAAAGTCTCACCAGTTAGTGCAGCTCAAGTATTGGATCCAGCAGAGAGCTGCTTAATCTTGGGCTGGGAAGTAAAAAACTAATTAGATGAAAAGAGTTTCTCTCATCAGTGTCACCAAGTCCCAGCTGTCCTTCATTATTTCCTCCAGCTGCGTATACTTTGCCTCCTTTTGTTGAAGCTAGGGTGTGCTTCCGTCCACAGGCAGCTTAAAGCTTTGACACACCGTTGGCTTGTTAACGCTTGATTTTCCTAATCCTAACTGGCCCCAGTTGTTACTGCCAAACATGTAAAGTTCATTATTTCCTGTAACAACAGCAGTATGTTCATCTCCACATGAAAGAAATGTAGGTATATCATTTTTAGACCAAAATTTGCTGGGAATATTTTCAGCAAATTTAGTTTTTCCAAATGTAAACACAGCACCCAAACCGGCACCACCTCCTCGGGTTCCCCCATTGCCGAAGTCGGTGCGGGGAGCGTGCGCCTGAACCGGAAAGGTGGCAGGGGCGATTCGGTGGGGCCTATGGCAGCACCTCAGTCCCGACACGGGCCGCAGAAGCCCCTCGGGCCCCCATAGCGACACCCCAGACATCGGCTACTACCGCGTCCCCGGAAGTCAACAAACCCCTGCTTAATTCTTTATCACCTTCCACAGGAATTCAAAATTTTTGCACAGTTGCGATCATGTGCCCATACAATAATGTATCCTGCATTTGAAAAAAAATAAAATGTTACACAGCTCAAAAGTCCCTGCTCCACATAACTACTTAGACATGAGCTATCCTGGAAAAACTGATCTTGGTCTCAGGCACTTTCATGTGAATCACAGCGCCAACGTAGGCAGTATGACATTGGGCACATTTCTTAACCTTCTGACTCTATGTCTTCATTTCTAGGATGAGATTCTTCTCGCTTGCAGGATGGATGGGAGGAACAGATAGGATGCATAGGCGGCAACTGACTCACAGTAGGCAATGACTGGGAGGTAGTTTTCTTATTTCCTGAGCTGATGGTTTTTGGCCAACCACGGTGCCAAGAATTCTTTAGCTCATCATCTACTTAAATCCTAACAACCCCTGCAGATAGGTTGTATTATATCACTTTTACAGGTGACACGAAGGAAGTACACGAGGTTAAGGCACTTGCTAAACGTCACGAGGCATGCCAGTGGAATCTGAACTAGGTTAGGGTGAACAGTGCCTTCCTGGTCACTTCTATAAAGAAGCACAAATGCCACCTAAGAATAGCAGATGACCTCTCCCCTTAGCACATGACTTTGCGGATCCAAAAATCCTAAGAAGGACTGAGTGGATGAGGTATAATACTGGTTTAATTCCGAAGATCATGAACAAGAGAAGGATAATAAGGAACTCAGGAGACACTAAAAAGAGCAAAACCATCTCAAGGAAAATTGACCTAGATGGGCAAATTTCCTAAACATCGTTCACTACTCTGATGTCTCAGGAGCCACCTGGAAAATTTCAAAACTTGTGTACGTTACTTCAAAGGCAATTTGTAGATAAAGGAAGGAGATAGGCATTTTCTGAACGCTCCCAGTGTTTGGATTAGTAAAACCGGGAAAGTAACAAGTACTGTCTCCTAGGGCTGTTGTTAAAATTAACACAAATGCCAGCAGGTCCATCACAGATGGACTTTGTTTCAGAGCCAGGACACATTGCCGCTTTGAATTTTATCCAAGTCTGTGGCTCTTCTCTCTGGGGTCATTTGACAGCACGTGATTGCGATGCTCAGTGTCCAAAGGCTGGAGCTATTAACTGAATGTTGCTAGACAATGAGTTATTTCACAAACACTGAAATATAAAAAGTATTCAGAGCCATCCAAGTATGAGGACATTATTCATTTATGCTTTTCTCGAGAGCTACTTTAACAAGAAAGAAAATGCTCGTCCCACCTTCGTTCCCTCTCCCTAAAGTAATACCTCCGCCAAAGGACAAGCACTAACACATTTGTCCTTGAAAGGTGGAGCCCAGGAATTCTGGAGCTCTGAACACCCGCTCCCTTTCTGCGAGAGACCAAAACTCCTGCCTCACTTGGTGTCACAGAAGTCCCCGGTGCGCCAAGCAAATGTGTTTACTTCTGCTGCCCGCCAGGCCGGCGGGGAAGGGGAGTACCCTGGCCGCGCCACACTTTCGCCCCTGCAGCTTTCCAAACAAACCGAGGCGGGATGGGAGTGTCTTCTTGGCTGTGGAACTCGATCCTCCTACCTTGTCCTGAAGCCACCCGCTGCTTTTCCCCGGCCCTCCCTTCGTGGTGATTTTCCTGTCCGGGACGCCCGGGAAGGGCGCGCGGCCGGTGTCCCCCCAGCCCGAAAGGTACGGGCTCGGCTGCTTTCCCGCCTCCCTGCTCCGGGGACGGAACCCGCAGGCTCCCTCTGCATTGCACCTTCCTCCGTGAACTTGGGGGCGGCCGTGGTCACCGCGCGTCTGGCGCCAGCAGCCGAGCAGGAGGAGTTTCCCCGCAGCTCCGGAGGCGCTCGGCGCAGTCGCCTGGGATCCGGACCCAGGCGCGGAGGGTAGCGCACGGCTCGGCGGGCGCCTTGGACTCCCGCGGCTCCCCCGCCTGGTCGGTGGAGAAGGAATCGTGCCCGCGCCGCCCCTGACCCGGGCCACCTTCCTCCGGTTTCCGCCGGCCTCGGGCTTCGGCGGCCCGATGCGGCAGGCGCCGCAGCAGCCGGCTGGAGCGAGCGGCGGTGGGTGGAGAGCAGCGGGCCCCCAGCCGCCGAGCCCCGCACGCCTCTGCAGTCTCCGCTCCTGGGCCTTGGCCGGTAACTCACTCCCGCCGGCTTCCCTGCGGGTTGGCATTGCCCGGGTGAGGGAGACTGGAGATCTGGGAGACCGAGTTCCCCACCCTGGTTGGGGCGGCCTGGGGTCGGCAGCCTCTGAGGCTGAACGTCGCGGGTGGGGTCACGCTCAATCGACAGCCTCCTCCGCGCACCCTCGCGTGAGCCCGCCCCCCGGGTTTAGGGGCTGCGGGGCGCACGCGGCGGAGAGGAGCTGCGGGGCGCCGGGATCCCCAGCGCGGGAGGAGAGGCGCTGCGAGTCGAGAGGACCTGCTTTGGGACCCGCCTTTCTCTAAACTCGGGGGAGCTTGGGCACTCGCGCGCCGTCAAGGGTGGGGGCTCCTTGCAAACCGTTGTTTTGTAAAAGGGTCTATTCGCGAACGGGGGCTAGAGGTCTGGAAGGTTCTCGTCTTTTATTGTAGAAAAATTTCCAACAAACCCTCCTTCCCGCCACAGTAGAACTAGACCTAACACAACAAGCACCGAGGCGGTTTGGGGGGGAAGAGCGGTGGTGAGAAACTCGCAGGGTTTGGGCTGCCGTTAGTTTTCAAGATAACAAAGGAGCAACTTGGCATTTTGAGGCCCTTGCTCTAGGATTCTCTGGAGAACTCAGCCTCTTTCTTCTGTGCTGTTATTTTGGCTTAAAAGAAAATCTACAGACGATTTCTAGAAACTAAAAACAAACCCCAAACACCTTTTTATAGGATCTTCAGTAGAAGGGGTAGGGAGAGAGGTGGGAGGGGAGGAGGTGCTTGCTACTAAAAGGTAATATTTAAAAAACTGTATGTGGGAGAGGGGATGAGAATAACATCCGTCGATGCCACCAGAAACCACATAAACCACAGATTCTCAGCTCAAGTCACATGCATCCGAGTACTATGATTAGGCGGATAGTTAAGGGAACTGCAGGAAGGCCAGAAACTCCTTGCCCTCGTTGGCTCTTCTCCCCATTTTCACACTGAGGTTTAGGTTTCTGACGGCTGCCTATGCTATGCTAGCCTGGATGTTTGACTTTCCGGTCTTCAAACTTCCTCTCCCAACTGCAGACAGTGGCGCTATCTTTTTATTTACACGGAGATGTTAAGTATTTGGGAAGATCTGCTCAGGCTGCCAGGTTATTTTCCTTTTGAAAGCAAGCTGATTTGACATTTGTAAATTGGTTTGTGTAGCTTCCTTTTCCTCTCAGCAAGTACTGCTTTTCACACCCAGATATGCAAAAGAGACAGGTTGTTTTGTAGTCTATTGTTGTTGAGTAAGGCCAGCTGCCTCAGAGATACTTTATTATTATTATTATTTTTAATTTATTCATTTTAGAGAGAGAAAATGGGGGAAGGAGGGGACAGGCAAAGGGAGAAAAATCTTCAAGCAGACCCCCTGCTGAACACAGAGCCCAACACCAGGCTCCATCTCTGGACCCTGAGATCGTGACCTGAGCTGAAATCAAGAGTGGGACGCCTAAGCAGCTGAGCCACCCAGGCGCCCTGACTCAGAGACACTTCAGATAATGGCAACTTTAGTTTATAAGGAGAAAACTTTTTCAGAAACTGATTGTATTACCCTGACCTGGCTTCCCGAGCCTTCCTTAATTGTTCATGTGGAGGAGGAGATCTTCATTCCTTGCTCAGTGGGGCTTCTTTCCTGGAGCGATATTTTTACCATAGTCCCTGAATGTCCCAGTCCCAGATTGTGTGTCTCCTTATAAAGATGCAATAAAATGAGACCACATTTCAGTAGATTTGTTGGAAATATTCAATTTGTTCTTATACCCCACGTCCATAAAAATCTTTGAGGCTCAGAAGGGAATAGATAGTAATTGGCAGAAGAATACCATTAAAAGACATACTGTTAAAACAAACAAACAAACAAACAAACAAACCCCAAACGTAAGTCTGTTCAGTTGTCTTCTGTTGGAGATATTTCTGTGTTCCACATCGTGTGGAATACTATAGGAGAGAGGTGAAATATGCTACATTTCCCATATGTCTCTGACAAACATCCTCTGCTAGCCATGCAAATTACCACTTGGCTTCCATCCAGGGTTGGGGGCCGGATAGCTATTTAATATACATTCCAGGTGATGCATACCAAGGCGGTAAGGAAAACATAAAACTCATGTGGCACCCATTATGATCCCCAGTGTGTTCACATGTGTTATTTTATTAAATCTTCCCATCAACTGTATGAGACAGGAATTAGCTCCATTTTATAGTTAAAAAAAACGAAGATTGTTCCAGCGTAAGTGACTTAGAATGGATCACATGAAAGTCTGCTTAACCTCTGCCTTACACCATCCCAGGAAACCTCCAGAGCACACATTCCTCACAGATTCTTCCATTCTTTGTGCATATGGTTCACCTTTGTCTTGCACACACTCAAGAGGATATATATATCCTCTGATCTGAATATACTTTCTTAACTGCCCCTCAGTCTGGGCTTCTTGAACAGGGGGTCTGTATACTTTGCCTTTCCTTCTGATAGCTTCCGACTTTCATCAGTTAGGTATCTTGTCTTTGTATCTTTGATGTGCCACTTTGGTGTGCTGTGTCTGGCCAAATTCAGGAGGATATGTTATCTCCAAGGGATTGTGTTCCAAAAATTCTTTTCATTCTGAATATATTTTCACTGAAGTTCCTATTCAACCTTCTTGCCTGGAAGAAGTCTTTCCAGGGGTACATCCCTGCGCTCACAGCTTAAATGAACCTCTCCTGTTTATTCTAACTACAATGGATAAAATAGCACACATCAGAATTTCCAGGTGAACCCTTTATGGGTTAAAAATAAAAATATATTTGTCATTACACTGTATGTTAATTATGCTTCAATAAAAAATTATTTGATTTGGAGCAAGCTTGATGTATAGCATACAGTGGATGCACTGGACACTACAGCGTGTCAGTAGGAAACTGTGTTTCTGGTTCTGTATTAGGTTGTTAGAAGCACTGTTCCCTCATCTGGTGAGGTAGCAGGAGCTCTTTCCCCTGATGGTGACTCCCAGCACTGACTAAGCAGTGGGGTCTTAGACTTGATCAGGAACTCGGCTGCTATACAGTCAGGCTAAGAAGGGGTAAGATTCTGGGGATGAGTTTGAGGGTAAAAGAAAGTAAGGAGCAGGAGGAACTGAATCTCTGTTCCATGCTCATATTTCCCCTTTTTGGAGACTTTTTGTCATCTGCGGGTGGGGGTGGTGGCCAGCTTACCATTTACTGTCAGCCTTCTGCATCGACCAGGGAGGGGCTTTCCTTTCTTTGGACCACTGGGAAAGAGAGGAAGGAAAGCACCCAGCCCTTGGGAATTTTTTTTTTTTTTTTTAATCACAAACACTGAAAAGCTGGGTAAAAAGATGCACTTCCCCATTCTTTTTGCCCTTATACCTAAGACACAGTGTGCTTAGTAGCATGTAATGCTGGTCTTCGAAGGATTCTTTAAACCTAGACCTACTTTTATCTGGTTGGGAATGGAAAGATCTGTAGATGAGGAGAATGAAGCCTCCAGATGAAAATGTGGCATGGAAGCTGGAGCTTCTTGCAAGGGAAGCGACCTGCCGCAGGTTGTATGTAGACGCAGGTCTGGAGTTGATATGGTTGTGGGTCGCGGTCACTGTGGTGCAAGGTAGGAGAGGCAAGGGAGCAGAGAGTGGTTTTGTGGTAAATCCTGGGTGACTTTCTGCATAGTCATCCTTAAGGTGGGAATTGAGTTTCAACTAATGTTTACTGAGTATCTGCTACATAATGGGTGATGTAGGGGGGTAGGGCATGCAGTGTTGAACAAGATAGACAGAGCCCCTGCTCTTACAGACCTTACGTTTTGTGAGAAATGGAGTCAATAAACAAGGAATAAATAAATGAAAAAATATCTTTCAGATACAAGGCAATACACCTCGGGGTGTGCTAAAAGGGAGCTTCTTTAGAGCAATCAGAGAGCTTCTCTGAGGAAGTGGTATTTGCACTGATACGTGAATGATGGGAAGCAAATGTCAAGTGAAGAGCAGAAGGAAAGGCTTTCTAGGAAGAGGGGACAGCAACTGCAAAAGTCCTGAGGCATGAATGAATTGGGGATGTTTGGAGAGCTTGTAGATGGAGAGGAGTGCAAAGGGGAGTTTGGAGGAGATGCAGTCAGCGAGGGAGTTGGGGGACAGTTTATATAAGCGAAGCCTTCAAGTCTTGGAGAGGAGCTTGAATTGTGTTTTCATTGGAATGGGATGCCACCAGAGATTTCTAATTAGAGATTAAGTCAGTCTTCACCCAATGGGCATGGGCTTTCCTGTTTGTGTCTCTCACTTCCTCTCCCTGTCTCTCTTTCACACACACACACACACACACACACACACACTCACCCACCCTCAGTCAGCTTTATTTCTCTCTGTTAATTGGCCATCAATGATTTCTCCTTCCTCAGCCCAGGCCAGGGCACAGGCATCCATGCAGAGAAGCAGGGCTCAAAGGACCCTGGACCCTGGGCCTCTTATCCTCTCAAATAAATCTATATACTCACTTAGTTTGATCTTCATGCATAAGACTCTGCATCACTAGCTCTGATTTCTCAACGTCTCTCCAGATTGAACGTCCAGATATCTCTAAGAAGTCTCTGGGTTGGCTAGTGATATCTGAAACTAGATACCAAAAATTATGTTAATTAGGCAACTCAACTGCAATTGATGTCTTTTGTAAGACAAGGATTGTCACAAGAGGCGAAAATTTAAGCAATCCAAAGGCCTTGCCTTTTCCTGAATACCTGCTCCTTCTCTCCCAGGCTGATGTCTACATGGTCCGTTATGGGAGGTTTATGTCCTTTTTAGAGTACAGTTTCAGGGGAAATATGCAAGATTCTTGTAACATTTGTCTTGGGAATATCCTATGCCTGAGAAATTTCATTTCTATTGGTCTTTGTAGATGATCTTAGAGTAATACTTAAATCATGAAGGCTTATGTCCAAGCTGGTATCACAGTAGCCCTGGTTTATCAGAAATGAACAAGTCCCCAGCATTT